CCAACTCTGAAGTCAACCTACTCTATTCACCGCGTAGCTTTGAGCCTATGAGAGAACACTCATCAATAATATTTTACACTGCTTTGGCCTTTGGGCTCGGGTTTTGGTTTTGATTTCATTCAAAATTTAACAAAATCTCAACTCTATTCCACTCAAATTGCACGCCAATGTATTTTATTTGATTGATTTTTAGTTTTTTATAGACACTGAATATCAAGAAAAAATGATTAAACAAGATCTTATCTGGGAGAGTAATTCATCAAAGACAACTAAGACCCATGGTTTTGGTTTGATTTTTTATATATTTAATAATTTAATTTAAAAATAAATAACAACATATGTGAAAAATGGAATATAAATCAGTCTTTAACTACCTGTTTTGGTTATGTGTCTATTGTCTTTTGCCAAACAAGATGACCTCAGCCTATCAGCTTATTTTGCAACCCTTAATATTATAGCCTAATAAGACATGTGCATCAAATTGATAGCTTCAGCCCTTCACCATCTATATTATATATATATATATATATATATATATATATATATATATATATGAAGAAAGGTATATCACGTCAGGGCCCTCTCCTTTCAACTATATCATTTATTTATTTATTTTCTGCTTTTTTTTCTCTTTTATATTTAAAAAATTAATATAATGTGCAATTCACAATTGTTTGCGTCAAATGGGTTCTCCTTTACAAAAAAATATGTTTTCCTGACGCATTCATCCATGTTTCTTCACAAGACATCTCATTTTCCAATGATCATTTCTCCATGCCTCTACTAGGTAATACTATCATTCCAAGTTATTCATTTAGCAGTATTGATAAAACCGAGGAGTTTGATCCTCAAAATGAACAAAGCAAATTTGACAATTATGGAGTTCGGATCTGCTCCTCACAGCATGTCCTATCCACACATTGGGAATATCTCCCGTGTTTGTGTTTGTATTTATTATTCATGGGGAAATATTCCTAAAATATGGTCGGATGTAGCTGTAAGGCCAATGTGAGGAGCGCTCTATGAGAAACGGATCAAGAAAGACTTAAAATTGCCACGATGAGAATCCAATGGTCCCAAACTATTGAAAATTGGCTTTTTTACTGGGTTTTGGGACAAGACGGGCTATATCGTCCTCTATATTGTTTAATTTCCCTTTGATAATGGCTCCACTTGGAATAAAGTTGGAGTTTTGAAAAGAAAATAATTGATATTAAGCTTGGGAATTAAAAGCCTATAAATGATTCACAATTAGGGGTAGATTCGAGCCGAGCCGAGTCAAATAGTATCAGGTTTGAGCTTGATTTTGAGAAAAAATATTTTATAAAAAAAAGTTATATATAAAAATATTCTTTATTTGATATTTAAAAAATAAAAAATTATAATAATTAATAATTATAATATTTTTATTATATATAATACTTTTTATAATTTTATTATATATATTAAATATCAAATATATATTCGAGTCGGTTCGCGAACCTCACGAGCCGAGTTCTAATAGGATCGAGCTCGACTCATTTAATAATCAAGCCAATGAATTAGACTCGAGTTCGAGCTCAAACTCAATTGAAACCAAACCGAACCAAACTTTTCCCAAACCGTGAAAAAGAGGCAAATATGGCTTTCCAAACCGTCTAACTGATGAATTGATTCCGATAATTCCCTTGTCTATATCAATGGCATGCATATATAACCACTGTTCCAACTCTGGCTGTGGACTTTTGTTGAGGTTACTCTGGTAGTAGTGGTCATCAGCCACTGGTTTTATTCTCTGAAAAGAAATGAATGTGGGGTGAGACCGTGAGAACCGACTCCCTTGCTGCAAATTTGCAACGTGGCAGAGGTTGAAGTTGAACTCGTGAATTTCTTTTGTCCCACGAAAATCTATCGCCTCACTCTTTCTTATTAAATGCTCCTTCCTATATAACCAATTATCAATATATGATGGATGGTGATGGCTTTCAAAAACAAAAATAGCGATGGTGATGGAATAGACTTTAGCCCTGCTGCCATGCACTAGAATTGGTGTAAATATTTAACATTTTTATTTTTGAAAATCTTTTGAACCCATCAAATTTCTCTTTCTTGGGTTTTCTTTTTCTTTCTTTCTTTCTTTTTTTTTTTTTTATGAGTGGTTGTAGTTTTGCAAGAAGAGATATGAAGATGTAGATGGCATGTCTATTCCTTTAGAACTTGTTAGAGATTGATAACATATTCATGGACCTTGCCTAATAGTTTACGCCCTGTTTGTTTGCCAGAATTTAATGGGGGTAAATTGGTCACAATCCCTGTATCAATTATTTGGGTGATTGACTTGGAAGGTGGGTAATCAACTTATCTGCGCTAAAATAATGACTCCTCCCTTTTGCCTTTCCTTTTATCTGAGTAATTTGTAGCACAAGAACGTTGGAATCTATTTTATTCAGGTAAGTTTTATCTAGGAAATGCTTGCCCAAGTAAATTCACGTACCTATGTAAGTCAAAACCAATGAGGCCTTATGCTTTTATGTTGAACATTTCTTTCACATAGAATTGGAATATGTTTGATCAAATGGTCTATTATTCGATTCTCGCCGCTCCTATTATAATTAATTAAGTTATAGCACAAGATATAAGTGGGTCTATGATTATTCATGCTTCAAGTCCAATAAGCTTTTACATAAGATGGTGATGGAGAGCTTTAACCTTTATTTTTAATTATAAAATTCTTTCTCAATTTTCTCATCGCTGTGCTTGACATGAACATCCCAATTTGATTTATAATTTAAATATTTTCATTTACTTTGTCCTAAAAGAGGAAAAAAAGAAAAAAAAAATGAATTCATCATACATAAATAAAGCCGAAAAAAGAATTAAATATTGCTGAGTTTGGATTATATGAGCCCATTTAAAAGTCATGTCTGCAATTATTTGTTTTACGTATTATAAATTTATAATAATTAAGCATTACCACGGAGGCAGACATCGATCTCTTATGGGCTTTATTTTTGTAGGCCCACAGGTAGGACCACTCATTGAATGAATCCACATTAATGTTAAGAATCCCTACGTCACAATTTCAAAAGAAACAAAACTCTAGTCGATGGAGACAAATAAAAAGAATAGGTCACTCACGGCTTAGAGAAATAAAAGGTTGGAGACTGGATCTACTCCTCACAAATGGGGCGCCTCACAGGCACCTCACACACACATCTCCCATACTTTCTAGTATTTATTGGTTATTATTCATAGGAAATGTTTCTAATGCACGATGGATCTGCTCACAGGATGTGCCTGTGAGCAGATCCTGTCACAAAAAATTAGGTCAATGTAGTGCTGATTTGCTGTCGTCCTCTTCTGTCTTCTTCGCTTTTCATTTTAGATTCCATTCATTGATGTTCCACCGTTGTCATAGTATTGAGATGATACAACAAAATCAAAACCTTTGATTTATTGAAGACCTTCATTTGCTCATTTATCCAAATCTTGAAAAAGGGCAACACTACACATAAGTGAGATATAAATAGGAATTGTGGGGATTTTTAAGGCATAGGGGACCATGGTTGCCACCCCTGGTCCCAAGTGTCCCGTGGATACAAAAAAAAAAAGGCATAAGGCTTTAGTTTGGATTCAATCTAGAAATAATAGCTGAAATTTAGCTTCACTCATAGGCCATATGTTTGAGTTAAGTTCACCTTGAACTTTACAATGAGCCAAGCTTTATATAAAAACATTAAAATTATACATATAACAATTATTTCTTACTACCATTCAAACATTTATTTCTTACTACCATTCAAACATGTATATTGGGCTCAAACTCAATTCAAAATTCAATTTGGACCAAGCTTTTTTCACGAGCTGATCTTAAATGGCTCATGAATAGATTGATTCATGTCCACCTTTAGGTGTTGCGATGCTGCGATGCACACCAACTTCAAGCTTGGGTCTAGTTTGGTTGGTAGTTTTTGAATTGATCTGACTCAACCATAGCCAATGGACTTCAAAAGTTTGATACTGATTTCACTCTAAATCTGGTTATCTCAAGTTTGGATGTTAGAACTTACACCCAATTAATAATCAGATGAGATACAAATTTAATCCCATTCGATCTAATTAAAATTATTATTTTATGTATATAAGCAGTATCCATATGTTATGTATAATTATATAAAATTTATAATTAATAAATTTAATATTTAATATTTATATATATTAATATACATATATAAATTAAAAATAATTAGGTTTTCTTAAAACTTTTTTAATTTTGCAAGTATTTTAAACCTAATAAAATAATTGCGAATTAAACACAATCCAACATAATAAATAGATATGAATGTGGATATATATTTCAAAATTAGATAAGAATATTAACATAAAAGTTTTATAATTGGATGTAGAAACAGATATAGATGCGGATGCAGTTAGATCCGATCCGAATATGCTTACTTTTACATCCTTACACCATACTGGACCCCAAATGCCACTTTAAATAATACAGCTGCATCATCAGCACAGCACATGTGAGGACGGTGTGAGGTTGCATTGGGAATATCACCATGGGAGATGTTCCCAATACAAGGTGATAGTGTTCTGTAGTTAGGGATGTGGGAGCAGGTTGTAGGTAACAAGATCGGGCGTAATTTGCTTGACACATGCAATGACGTAATCTACGATGGGGTTGCTTTGATCAATCAATTATTATCATTTTATATTTTTCTTCCCTTTATATATTTAATCCTTTTGATTCATTGGGGCTACAACCAATGGTTTTACAGTTGGGAATCGGGATTTGGGATCACTTATTAGACACTTTGTGGGAATTGCCTCGATCTACACCATTTACATCCAAGGGGACCATTGAATGTTTGTAGGTTGAGGCGCACCCAATGTTTCCCCCTCCACAAGGTCAGCACTCGGCAGTCAAGTCCCCCCCACCCCCCCCTCTTGGTGGGACCCACGTCCTCGTATATAAGCTCTATATGTTGTCCAAACTCTAGTGTCGTTTCTCTGTTTCTACCTCGCCGGAATAATGCTCGCTGGAAGCCTATAAGATTCCGGATTTTTCCATGAACCAATTTGGCTCGCTCATCGTGTTTTTCTTCTTCTTCTTCTTGTTTTGCGATGTCCAAGCCCAAAACGGAACGCGAGCGGATGCATCACCGCCAGATGCTGTCTCAGCGTTCCATCCCAGCCTTGCTGTCGTCGTTGGGATCCTCTCCGCCATGCTCTCACTGACGTTTCTTTTTATCGCTTACGCGAAATTCTTTCTAAAGGGTGAGGATTCCAGTGCAGTGGATCAGGATGACGACGAAGACGACCTCGATCACCGCCAGCACCGAGGGCTATTTCGAACAAGGTCCAGGTTCTCTGGAATCGATAAAACCGTAATCGAATCGCTTCCATTCTTCAGATTTTCATCCCTCAAGGGGTTCAAGGAAGGCCTCGAATGCGTCGTCTGTCTGTCGAAATTCGAAGATACCGAGATACTTCGGTTGCTTCCCAAGTGTAAACATGCGTTTCATATCGAATGTGTGGACAAGTGGCTCGAGAACCACTCGACCTGCCCACTGTGCAGACACAAGGTTGATCCCGAGGACCTTACTCTTTTCACATATTCCAATAGTTTGAGATTATTGGGAGGCCCGCCAGAGCTGATGGAGGATCCTAATGTCGAGCTCTTCGTCTGCATAGAGCAAGACAATCAAGGGTCGTCCAGGTTCAGCGTCGGAAGCAGCTTGCGGAAGATAGATAGTGATAAGAAGGACAACGAGTTGCCGCTGCAAGTAGGAGGAAATGCCGATGATGGTGTTGTGGGTGGTGAGGATGATCGTAAGCCGTTGCATGATAAGTTCAAGCATAAGATCATCGTCTCCGACGTCGTCTTCAAGAACAGATGGAGTGATGTCAGTTCCTCCGACCTGATGTTCTTGAATTCAGAGATGCTTAGCCTCATGTCGAGCAACCGATTCTCTTCTTTTCTCTCCCCGAATAGTCAACGATTCATGGCCGCACCGTCAGCTTTCGAAGATGGGTCTCCGAAAACTGAGCATATAATCGAAATCAAGGAGGATATGGAGAGGAAGAGATTGCTGGAGAGTGAGATCATCAGTAGAATTAGCACAAGCCATTCAGTGTCCGACACATCTGAGCTTCCTTCCACTTTGGATCCCGAAGCCAATATTACGTCGAGGTTCTTGAATAATCCATCTGAGAAGAGATCAATGTCGGAGATAATAAACCTCTCCAGGTTTAAGAATAGAACCAAAGAATCATCCGTCGTTGGAAACAATGAAAAAGAGGAGAGGAGGAGACGGCTTTGGATTCCCATTGCGAGACGGACAGTCCAGTGGTTTGCCAGTAGAGAAAGGTCGTCGCAACAGCAATCTGATCAATATAACACAAGATCGACAGCCTTCGAAATTATGAAGTTCCAGAAATAAAATTCTCATTCTGTAAATGGTGGGTTTGCTATTTTTCAGCAGCCATTGACGTGTGCTTCGAAGTCCGTCGAGCGCCGCGATGGTGATTTCACTTTCACACTTAACAAGATGGTGAGTCGGAAATTCGGTTAGGGAGAAATAACAAACACAGACTTAATTAATATCATGTAGTAGTACTGTTCAGTCAAATACATAAATGGAAGTATATGATTTTCATTTGGTTCATTCTTTCATTTCGTCAGGTTAAACTGCTTCATCTTTCATTCATTCATGGAGTATATTCTCTTTCTTTTTTCAGACGGCTGTAGTTGTGGTTGGGCTTCATTTCCAAATAATCAAGTAAAAGAGATTGATTTATACATACGACCCAGATCATTATTTTCATCAACTTAACAAAATATTAGGTAAAATTAGATAAACAATTCATCGCGTATATCATTATTTGTTGTGTTACTGCATAAATTCTCTTCTCTTCCATGTGTTTGTGCTTGATGGACAATTAATTAATTGTATTTAAAAATAAACGAACATGTGATTTTTCCAAGAATTATCCTCTAGGAGATCCAACGAATCAAGCAGATAGAATCCCACTCACACGATGAACTTAACTCACAGCCTCACAGGATAAATGATAAGTACAAGACACTCGCTCACTACAAGTTTTTCTGTCTTAGGTGATGTTTCGAATTGTTTTGGTATCATTTATGCGATGTATACTGATTTTTGAGAAATATATTCTGAGTCATTATTTGGTACTGATTTTCTAGGGCCGATCATTTTTGTATTAGAGTTATTATTCAATGCCTGGATGTTATCTCATCCTCAAAAATTCAACATCAACTAGAAATCATGAAATCATAAAAAATAAAAAATGGTAATCCCCAAAAATGGTTGATTTCAATAAATCAATTTTTGGCCGATTTCCTTAAAATCACCAAAATCAACCAATTAAACAGAAATTTCAACGCCAATTCCTCCCAATGATATGGCTGTGATTTTCAAGAAATCATCAACGATGCCAAACATCACCTTAAAAGCAGGCTATTTTAATCTTCTCGATGCTTCATCAACCCATAGGGCTAGGGGTGGACTCGAGCCAAGCTGAGCCAAATAGTACAAGGCTCGAGCTCGGCTCGCCAAGGTAGTATAAGGCTCGAGCTCGAGCTCGAGCTAGAACCTTGAGTTCAAGCTCGGCTCGAGTAAAAAACTCATAAGCTTGAGCTCGGCTCGGCTCGGCTCGAGCTTGATTTGAGAAAAAAATGTTTTATAAAAATAAAAAATTATATATAAAAAATATTTGATATTTGATATTTAAAAAATTAAGAATTATAATATTTTTATTATATATATTATTTTCTATAATTTTATCCTCACGATCCGAGCTCTATTAGGCTCAAGCTCGACTCGTTTATTAATCGAGCCTATAAATTGGGCTCGAACTCGGCTTGAAGCTCGGTTGAAATCGAGCCGAGCCAAGCTTTTCACAAGTAGAGCTCGATTTGAGAAAAAAATGTTTTACAAAAATAAAAAAAATATATACATATATAAATATTTTTGATTTGATATTTTAAAAATTAAGAATTATAATATTTTTATTATATATATTATTTTCTATAATTTTATTATACATATTCGAACTCGGCTCGCGAGCCTCACGAGCCGAGCTCTATAAGGCTCGAGCTCGACTCGTTTATTAATTGAGCTTGTAAATTGGGCTCGAGTTTGGCACGAAGCTCGGTTGAATCCGAGCCGATTCGAGCTTTTCACGAGTCAAGCTCGAGTAGCTCGCGAAGAGCTTGGCTCGTGGCCATCCCTACATATGGCTAGTAAGTCATCAAATCAAATTATTTGAATCCAAATAAGATCTTGTAGGAGTTGGATTTAGATACCTCCCTCGATCTTAATAAATCAGTAGAGGTGTATCGGTTTAGTCCTTTTTGTAATTTCAGTTATATATACATTTATTACATATATTATTCATTAAAAAATTAGGTCCCTTAAACTTGTAAATAGGTGAATCAAATACTCAAAGATACGATATAATACACCATCATTAACAGACTGAATTCGAATATACCCAATCTGATCTACCATGACTCAATCCAGTCCATTAGTTATGAAATATTATATATGATATTATAATATTATATGTATATTCTATATATATTGTATTTTATTTATATAATATATAAAATATAGAATATAATATTATTTGATTGGTCAAAATTCTTTACATACTATATCTTTCCCACATCATAGATTTTCCCATATATTATTTTTATTATATCATCAAGTGTTTTTTTTTATTATAAGTCAAATTGAATCAGATTCGAGTTGGATATCCCATAAGATAGTTGAATTCAAATTCGAACCGCATAATTTTAAAAATCCGTGTTAGACAGTTTTATGCCCTTAGCTCCAATCAGAATGATGTACCTTATAAATTTATTGTAAATGAATAAAGTATATATTTGATTTATGTTCCTGTGGTGTGTTTCTGTGTAATACCCTTAAACTGGACACTTATGAGACTCGTGTTAGTTTAGAATGTTCACAGCCTTTGGATAAGTCTGGGGAGATTTATCCTGCCAAG